CCTTTTGAAGTCATCCTGCCTCACTGTCTGTTCTTGAGACTTCCTGTCAGCTAGTCTGGCAGTTTGATGACTGGGTGTCCCTGATGGCCATGACACACAAAGCTATAAAGTGTCGAAATGATGACGTGTTTTTGTACGCCACAGTGGAAGTTAGCATCGCAGGGCTTCCTTGACACAGACCAATGGGGTCACCAATTTGATGTTGGGATAGTGCAGGAAATAAGATCTGTGGCAAACACACTTTTATGATTCTTACATAATTTGTGTTGCTGGGAAACCTCCATTTATTAACGCCACTATATGATTTTTGAAGCCTAAATACATTTGCCACAAAAGAGCTACATCACAGTCACATGGCTGTGCATCACCACAGCTAAGCTAAAGGCCAATTTGTGTTTTTGTAACAAAGCAACATTGTGATGACACTTCGGCGCTTTGGACATTCATGAGTGAGGTATTTACTGATATAAATTATTTCACACGCAACTTTTCAGCCAAGACCAAGGCACTGTGAGACATCCCCGCTAGTTTTTTGTTATCAGTTAATGTCTGGGTAGATTTGAGTATTTGAACCAAAGTAACAGCAAAAATGCAAAGTTAATTGGATACATTGTAATATGGGCTGATGCAAAGTTTTTGTTTTGTGTTGTTTTTTGAGAAACCACATTGCACACTTACTGTATTTTGCTAAGTCCTGAATACAGACTCCAAAGTGAGTAGCATTTGTACTACCTAACTTTTCAGACTAATTGGGAAGAAGCATTTCCCCAGAGTTTAATTGTAATATACATTCTGGGTATAAAGGTGCCCCAGCAGTGCTCAGATTGTGGACTAATTGCAAAATTACATAATGATATATTAGATGAGCAGCTGCTGAATACATTTTTTTAACCTCAAGATGTCCTTTCTTACCAATTAGCATAAAAATGAGATATATTACCGAGAAACCAAAAGTAATTTCCCACCCTTAAGCAGTAGCTGAAGAGTCCGTCCTTGTTGGAAACACTTTTTAGAGAGGGGGGACTCTCAGTCATTATTACTTGCAGTGAAAGTTAAATTAGACGCCTCCAGCTGTGCTGTTAATATCTCTGGGTCAGTTCAAACTTATCGAAAATAGGAGGCAGAAATTACCCAACTAGACTTTAAAAGAGCACATGTACCTGCTTGAATGAATCTCTATGAAGTTCAAATTCATTAAAAAACAAAGAGGAGTAATTTCCACTTCAAACAAAGCCTTCTCTCAACCTCTAAATCATACAGAGGAGTGAATGTGAGGCTGGCAGCAGAGCAGTATTTGTTTGAAGTGACGGTCAAAGAGTTGAATTTGGAACAGCAGCTCCACTGACGTCTCTGTAACTGTAAAGATTACCTCAAGTTGTGACTTTTGTTGGTAGTAAATATACAACACATTGAGTCTAGGGCAGCTTTGTTACTGTCTAAACTGTCATTCAGCTGGACTAAGGATTGTATTATATATTATATTATTATATTATAATATTATATTACATGTTACTTGTTAGACGCTTTTATCCAAAGCGACTTACATATTTAATACTGTGGACAATCCCCACAGGAGCAATTTGGGGTGAAGTGTCTTACCGAGGGACACAACGACATGCTGACTGCATTGGGGTTTGAACCTGTGACCCTCTGATCCAAACACATACGCACAACCCACTGCGCCACACGCCTCCGTGTACCAACACAGTCTTTAGAGGCTTCTCAATACTCAAATGTCCCCTCCTCGACTCCTCGGTCCTCCGGTAGTGACCCGGAAATGAATTTCAGCGCGCCATTTTGAAGGACGTCTCATTTCTCTAAATGCACACCGAGGACCGAGGATCGAGCGTCGAGGAGGCTCTCTGGAGGAGCTATTACCGAGGATACACTGATGGTTCCTCCACGGCTCCTCCGCGGATGCATTTCCGGGAACGGTGGAGGCGTGACGCACGGCCGGACTTATCTCAGCCAATGACAGCTCTGCATGCATCCTCTGGATATTATTTTAGAAACTGCTTTCATCGCGTCGCGATGTTTACAGTGAGAACAGCTGTGAGGTCCGTGCAGAAAGCAGAGCAGTGTACAATATCACTCAGTATAACAGGCCTACATTACTCTCTTTATTTGCTGTAGTACAAAGAGTCGATATTTTTCTAAGACCATTTCGTGCGTCACATAATAAAATACACAACGGCTGTAGCCTGATTATGCTTTAGGAGCTGTAAGTGTGTGTTGTAGGCAGTGTGTGTGTGTGTGTGGTACAGTATGTAGGTGTGTGTTGTACAGTGCGTAGATGCGGCGGACAGACGGGTCTCAGTTGGTTTGGTGTCCTCTGCTTACTTTTAATTTAATTTAATTTCAAATCTTTATTTATACAGATAAATCCCATTGAGATCATTGATCTCTTTTTCAAGGGAGACCTGCTCAAGTAGTTCCACATGAAACATAAAAACATAAATAGAACAACAAAAGGACATCATACAGCATCATTTACATAATTATCCACATAAACAGGTACCAATAGCTTCCGATTGAGTAGCATCCAACCGAGCTTTAAAAACATTTAGTGGCACCAGATTGTTCAGTTTCCATTTAATTTGCAGACTATTCCAAGACAGAGGAGCTGCGCATCTAAAAGCTGTCTTCCCTAAGACAGTCCTAGCAGTTGGCACATTTAATAAAACCACAGCATGCGATCTCAGGCAGTAGCCACTTACAATTCTCCGTGAGATCAGGGAGCAGATATAAGATGGAAGTTTCCCTAACATGGCTTTGTATGTTAGGGAAACTTCCATCTTATATCTGCTCCCTGATCTCACGGAAAATTGTAAGTGGCTTATTATTATTACAAGTTAATACTTGTAAATACAACTTTTGGCCCGTCATTTCAATTCCCCATTTCAGCGACCAAAGAGAGGAGGGGGATATATCCAGTCTCTGATTGTGTTACGTTATTATGAGAGTGCTGAGCTCTCATACTTTAAATTGTATATATTTATATAAATATATTTGTGTGTGTGTGTCCGCATCTGTGCCTGTTATTGTCTCATTATACGGTATACCGCACTCTCAATGAATTCAAAGTAAATATGTGGGGGAACAATGTTCAGCTAATCTAACAGAGATACAGCGCTATGACAAAACACTCGACAGCTGATGCAGCTGTTGCCACGTAATAATGAACGGACGTCTCTTTAAAATGACCGCTCAGAGGAGAGGAGTTCTCATTTCTTTAAACGTCTGCTGCTTCCCCTCCTCTCTCCTCGGTTCCCCTCCTCGGTCCTCCGCTCGCATCTCCTGTGGGCGGGTCTAAGTCTCGAGGAGGGGAACCGAGGAGGGGAGTCGAGGAGGGGAAATTTGAGTATTGAGAAGCCTCTCATGATTTACTGGAAAAGGTACAAAAGCAACAACAAAATAGTCTTAGAAGGTTCATCCATACTACAATGTTTTAAAGTCTTATTTCCTCCTGAAGCCCTGAACTAATTATTTGATACATTTGAGTTACGCTTAATTTATGTTTATAGTTTAGCAGCTGGATATATTTGTATTATCTGCATTTCAATTTGCCTGGTTCTGCCTGGGAATTGCAGTGCTTATTGGTTTCATGTTTTTGTTTTACCATGCTTGAGCACTTTTGAAAGGGGCTGAATAAATATAGTTTACTTTTGTTATCGTCTTTTCACTTTTGTAGATCCTCCGAAGGTCAGATTGATCAGAGACAAGTTAGAAACAGAAATGAAATGAGCCAAACTGCCTTGAGATAAAGATAAACTGAGAGTATAACAGTCCTGATGCAGTGATGGACATTTCATTGAGAGATGAGCCAAGCCCATTCTTGAAGGAATGAAAGGAAAGGGAGGATTAAGTCAAAAAAGGCTCCGGATGTTTTGCCCACTCTAATACTCTCTCCACAAAACACACCCTCCCTAACAGCTTTACATTGGAGATAAACACGATTCAGAGATGCTCCGAGACAAAATGTGTGTTCATGTGTGTGTGTGTGTGTGTTTAAGTGTGAAGGCCAGAGAGTAAGACACTGGAACGTTGCCATATCAGGAGTGGAGCAAAGCAGGGCAGGCAGAACCAAAGGTCTGTCCCACAGGGGGAGTTATCAAGGTGTTGCGCGAGACCATCAGGGAAGAGAAAGGGCAGAAAGGAGAGATCATTACCCAAAATGTAGCAGAAGAAGAAGTCTCGCCCTTTGCAGCGTGAAAGACCCACATGCACTCTGAAAACATTGCTTAGACGATATAGCTCAGTGTGCTTCTGCTGAGCGGAGTGCAGAGAAAGTAAATGTGTTGCTGATGTTCACTGCAGTTTGTTTTTGGTGTGAGAGAAGAGAAACAGCTGAACTGGAAACTGACTTGCAGTAATATCATTTTCAAATCACTGTTATTAATTAAATACCTGATGATGGCAATGCTTAGAACTAAGCTAATAGATCTATTTCAGGTCAATGTATTGTCATTAGTAATTAGATCTTTCAACAAGATAGTCCTGAGCCTTAAACCGTTTCTCATAAACAAAAGGTCTTTGCCAGTAATTAGTATTGATCATTTGAGTTTCCAGCTCTTAAATACCATTATCGTCAATTTCCACTTTGACTTTTTCTGAAAGCTCTGACTGCACTCCCACAAAAATGTTCCAAAACAAAACAAATGTGGAAGCCTCATGTCAGTCAAAAATCAAGTTCAACTATACCTTCATTTAAATGTTCACATATGACCGACATGAGTAAACAGAAAAAAGATCCCTACAGTATAAAGTCCTTAACATTAAATTGTTTTCCATCTTTGCGTTTTGTTGTTGACTTTTTGAGATGAGGGTTTTCACCCGTTTGCTTACTTGTGATTTGCAGAGTACTGTGAGTAGTTGAGCACGTTTTCTTTTTGGACAAATAAAAAAAGAACAAAACTTGAACAAGAATCTCTTTGACGCTATCATGAGGGTGCTTGTGTTACTTTACAGTATACATATGCAGCATATATCGCCTTATGTACCTGGTTGATGATATAGATGCCGTAGTCGATCTTCTGCCGCCTGAGGATGGGGTGCAGGTAGTGGAGCCAGTACTTCAGGTGGTTTTCTCTGTGACGGAACGGGATGATGATGGCCACCTAAACACCAGGGACAGTTTGGGTTGGCTGCTTGTTTGCACTATAAAACATTTTCATCATTTGGAGAAGCATTGAAATGCAAGAAGCTAAATAAATCAGTTCCAGTGAAAAACAAATGAGCATAATCAGTCAAGATGAATAAATTGAAACGTTTCTGTTAATTTGTAAACATGTACTTTTGTGTAGCACTTAAACATGTTTGGCTCATTTGAAGCCAATGCACCAGCACTTAAAATGTTTTCACCTATCAAACACTAATGTACTTGCTGGATTCTTGCTGTTATATGTCGTATGTTCATGGTTGATTTCACTCATTTGAAGTCGCTTGAATAAAAGTGTTAGCTAAATGAAATGTAATGTACATGTCAAGTATCATTCTGTGTTTATTTGATTATTAAGCTTAAATTAGTTTTGTTTCATCCGACGGTAAACTGTTCTGCACCAGGAAATCTCCCGCTGCTTAATGTCACAGTAAAGTACATAAAGCTGGTTCTCATTCATTATAAATGAAGAAGCTCTCGTTGGCAGTGCAGATAAGAGACATATTTGATGCCCTCCTCTATCTCTCTTTATTTTAAATGAGTCGTTCTCAGCTGTCCAAACAGTCCAAGGTTAAACTGTAATTTACTGTGTTGAGTTCATGCTCACGGTCATTTTGCACTCAGATGAAGATAGAGAGCAGATCAACCTTCGTTTCTGTATAGTTAGGCATTGTGATGGGTGAGTGGTGTCATTATTACTGCTATGAAGCTCCTTGACCTCCGTGAAGTATCATGTGGAGAAGAGAGACGTACATGACTTGACTAGACTTATATAGATGACTATGCCGAAATATGAGAAATATACAAATATAACAATTACTTAGTAAGTGGACATTGTAGGGTAATTTTTTTATCTCCTGTATAGTTTTTTATGTCCTCATATTTCTGACTCAACGTTTGGATAGCCAATTTCATAACCTTTTCTATTCCATCATTTTGATTCAGTACCTCATAATTCTGAGCATGCATTTTATAAAGACTTCTCTTTTTTAATAGTTATTTTCTTGGCAAAACGGGCTTTCATAATAAAATGTGTGGATATTCAGAGAGAGAGGAACAGACCTTCCATCTAGGCCGGCAGTCAGGCGGCGTGTAGCGCCCCCCCTCCGTCACGTTGGGGTTTTCCTTCTGCACTCGTTCCATCGTCATCTGGGAGCCGAACTCGATCAACAAACGGCCCACTGAGGAAACAAGGAAAGAGGGAAGAGTTAGTGAGATGAAGAGGATAACAGAGGATAAAGTGGAGAGAAGAAACAGAGGAGAAGAAAGTAGCGTGGGGGTGTAGGGAGTGAGGGACGGCTTTTAGCTTCGAAGCTATGCTGCACGTGTATCAAAGCAACGTGTGCAGAAATAATGATTTCAAGGGATACGCTTCGCTTAATGCAGCATTTAATAAGATGCACCGGCTTTGGAAAACATATATTCCAACCAAATAAACAAAGACTTTGAAGTCACTAAGAGTAAACACAACACGAAAGGTAATTACGCTGCTCAGTCATGAAGGTCCTCCATATGTTATATCACCACAAATCCATCCGTCATTCCTTTGATTGCTGACAGATCAAATGCCATCAACGCTTGTGTATTTGTGTGCATGAGTTTGCGGGTTCAGACTAATTTAAGAAGAAGGGTTGTCTTTAGATCTCTGGCCCGCACAGTAAATACAGCCCCTCGTTCAGGGAGCCGCGATCATTAAAATATACACGCGCTGAGCTCCAACCAACGTCCTGCAACCATAACCCTCATTATAACACACCAGACTCTGAGTACTCCTTCTGTTGCAAAATGTCACTCATTAGTGCATGTTTTTCTTCAGCGGGAGTGTCAGAAAAATAACTCATTACATAATTTACAAGGAGAAATACACATTACATGATGATTACAACAAAAGTAAAGAATGTCGTGCTGTGGAGGACACTTGTTCAAGGATGTTTGTACTTCATTACTACCAAAAAGGCACTCTACGACATGTAATGATGGTTGTATCTATGTATCTACTTTTATCATTTTCGAGTCATAAATCTATCGATTAGATTTATGATTCGAAAATTATAAAAGTAGGGTAGACATGTGGATATTATCCGGCTGAACAAAACGTGATCCGTCTCTTAAATGTGTGTCAACCACAGACCTTATTTCGAGCTATTTTCCAAAATCCTATGGAGAAATTGCATTGCGTTTTTGTCGAAGGAACCGGAAGAAGTTTACTTCCGTGTTTTAGGACGCGTCACTGCGGTTCTCTATTGTTGTGTGTAATCTATCATACTGTATTGCCATGCTTCTAACCAACATGATACTACAAATACTGGCGGGCAATGTTCTGTATTTTCAGTTGGTCTCAACAAATCCCATGAAAAAGAGAAAAACAAGCAATCAATGGATCCTGCTACAATCATTGTCAATGTATCCAAAGCAATAATGGCATGTTTTGTGATTTATTTTAAATCCGTCTTACATACACAATTCTGCTGCTTTAGATGCTCACTAGCACATAATGAGACTTGAGTATCAATCCGCGACTTAAAATAGTCCTCAAGAAAAACTGAAACAGGGCCCAGTCTGCTCTCATTGGTTAGCTAGCTGGCTTTGGTGATTGGTCAACCACTAAAATAAGTCTCCCTCCTTAGCCTATCACGCACAATGTATCTGAGCGCTAGCCGTTACATAGTGATGTCACTAGATTACAGAAGAAAACAAAAGAGTCCAATTGAGGCGTTGTGGGAGAGAAACTCCCTCTGGAGGGAACTTTGGGATTTCAACCTTTGCAGACCACATGAACAATAACCTATACAACACACTACAGGAAAGGGAAAACCCAAAATGCATAATAGGGTCCTTTAAAGCAACCGCCATAACACATATTCTTTTTCTATTGATATACAGATCATGTGTTTATGGTGTTGAAGTACTGAGTATGAGAGTACTGAACTACAGCGAGAGAGAGGAAACCACTTAGCATGCACGTATTATCTCCGTGTGGAGAGGTCTCCTCCAATCAATGCTGCACAGACGAGGAGCCTGATCGATGGCAACAAGGTTACATGTTTATAACACACTTCTTCATCTAACCCTCAAGAGCTGAATGCAGATAGAGTCAACAGCCTCTTCCCCTGACCACTTCTGTCCATCACCCTCCCTCCACTCCACTCTCACACATTTTTTATCCTCCTCCTTCCTCACACTAATGACACTAGCGTTCAGAGAGGTGACTATCAAAACACATAATCAGCATTAAAATCTAACACGCCACGAATGAGCAAGTGTGAATGAAATGTTAAGTGTTAATAAACTGATAAAAATGCAACGTATTCAAGGCATAGACTAATTTAAACTTGAATTATTTATTTATAATTTTAAGGAATAGTCATCATTGCCGACATTTGCCAAGAGAAAGGAATGATACCAAGGTTCAGTACTGAGCTAAAACATAGCGCTTTGCCTATAGCACAAAGATTGGAAGCAGGGGAAAACAGCCAGCCTGGCTTCGTCGAAAAAGTGAAAACACATTCTTACATAACCAGCACCTGTAAAAAACCCTCAGATATGCATAACCTTTTACGATAAGCTGTACACAAACAGAACAAACTGGGGTTTTATGAGGAGTTATTTGTTGGAAAGTGTTCTTAGCAAAAACTTCCAGGAGTTTTGTTAACCATGAGGAAACCAGCAGAGACGTTTCATAGAAGTTGGATATATAAACTGTTTTTCAAGATAGCTACATCTACAGCACACAGGAAAACCCTAAGAGGTATTTGTTCTTTATTTATGTGCTAGCTGTTTCCCCCTACAGTCTTTGAGCTAAGCTAAGCTAAGCTAAGCTAATCGCCCTCTGTCTCCAGCTCTGTATTTAATGCAAAGACAAGATACTGCTTCCATTTTACTAATCTTTTCAGCAAGACAGATATAACTATTTTCCCAAAATGATTAATTACTCCTTAAATTTTTGTTTTTGTTATGCATTTACCACCAACACACTTCGACAAATACGATGCTATGTGGCAGCAGACTTAGAAATATGTTGTCGTGTAGGATATAAACAACAGGAATTAGATGTTGTGGTTGCCTAAAGTTCGCAACAAGGACAACAAATGATGAGCAGCACAAGAACTGACACGCTTCACTCTCACTGCTTAATTGGCGTAGCTCATCTTAAACGCATGTTGACGTTTTGATATAAATACACAATGACAGGTAGGAGGTCAGAAAGTTCCCAGGTAGTCCGGTGACGTGAAATAAACAGTGACATCATCCTGTTTGACTCTCACACAGAATAGATGAATAATACAAAGAGTGTGTGAGAGAGACAGGGAGGAATAGTGTGTATAAAGAAAATGGAAAATAAGGGTTTGAGCTATTGTTTGTGGAGGAACAAGTGATAAAATACTGTTGTAATGTGTGGAAGTAGTGGTGCAATTATCTCACACGCACATAATATATCTCATGCTTATCTATTTGGTGACATTACTGTACATTATAATCACGCCGCCTGATCGCTCTATCTGGGACACCCACTGCACTTTGGGGGATACATCACTGCTTTGTCTGAAAGTAATATACACACACATTCTGTATACACACAAAACAATAATACACTATAATAATTAACAGTTCTCTAAGCTATAAGGTTTGTAGCAAATGTAGCATCACAGTACACTGAGAGCAGACCTGAGGCAGATCTTGCAGAAACAGAACGAGGAGAAAAATGAAAGCAATCGAGAGTTATTGTTGGTTTTGAAGGGTTTCTATGCCAACTTCAGATTGTAGTGCTCTTTGCTTCTGTTTCTCTCTCCTCCTGTCTTAGTTTGTTTAACCTTCTCACCACAAAACTCGAAAGGACACTGAAATATTGAGGAAACCGTTCACACTTCCCCCTCCCTTCCCACATCACATTCACTCTCTCTCAGGCCACTGCTCCTAAACCTGAGACCTTTGTGGAGGTTTGAACGGTTTCACCTGGTTTCTGAACAAATACATACTTGAACCAAAACACAGGACCAAATGACATTAAGTCTTATCTGCTTTGGGTCGGGCCCTATTCTATTGCCACAGATATGGGTCAATTGTGGTGCAGCGGGTAGATATGGGGGTAAATAAGGGTCCACCAATCAGAGGGTTAGCAGCTCGATCCCAACCCAACATGTTGAGGGTTCAGTTGAATTATGGGTATTGTACGTTTTTGACAAAAAGAAGAATTTGTGGAATAAAAAAGGTGGCTGCATTGGTTTACAGAAGTGCAATACATCATCTGTGGAGAAGCTTTTTGGAACAATTACTTTTACATAATTACAACTATGAGACATCAAGACAACTATAAGTATTCATTGATTTCAAACACTATTCATTAGCCAACAGTTTCCACCGTATTTAAATCGTCTAGTTAAATACTGTATTAACAAACTTTGAAATGATGTCTTAAGTCAGTGATTGCAACTAATTCTTCAATTTCTCACCACTACTCCATTTCCATCCACAGCAACTAAATGCTAAATCAACAGCTACACAAAGTCTTCCTTTGATGACTTTCTCTATCTTTTGTGAAGTCTGAGTCTGTGAACATAACAGCATGACTTGCCGAGTCCTTACAGAGCCGCTGGTCAGGCCATCTGACCGCATAGACCTCTCAACAGGCTGGCTGTTAATCAGCAGTCCTGTCCTGAGACTTTCTGTGCCTTCATGTTACTTAAGTGACAACTGAAGCAGTGCCAGGGTAAGATTTTACCGGACGAGTTTATAATTGAGGTTCTTTGGCTTCCGGATAAAAAAAAAGAGAGAAAGGAGAGAAAGAAGAGGGAGGGAGAGACTGTTCCTCTCGTCCTGCCTCCCACTGACACAGACTCTCTGACAAAAGAGACTTTCAGCTCTTTGAATCTTATTAGTCCGTCCACTCGCCGCTTCTCCTCCCATTCTCTCTCTTTCAATCATTTACAAGTGCCACAACCAACAGTGGACTGTAATTGCTATTCTTCCAGCAACGGGGGGGGAAAAAAAGAAAGAGATTCAGGCAGAGGAAGAAAAGGAGATATGATGGAAGTAGGAAATAAGAAGAAAGAACTTCTGTGTGTGAAAGGGAAAAGTAAAGTATACAAGTCAGGCAACTTTGTGCACAGTTTATTTTCAGCCCTTTTATTCAAGATGTTTCTCCTTGTGTATTACTGTAGATCTATTCTCTGAAAGTGGCTAA